CCACCTAGGGATTAATCCTGTCCCCCCCCCCCGCCCCCCAATAAATAATGCGAGAAGCAGCTGCTCTTGTGTGGTTTCAGGCTCCCTAATCAGCACAGAAGAGGATAAGGAAGGCCAAAGAAAGCGTCCTTGGGAAGATATGGGAAGGAATGTAACACCTGAGGGAGGAAGAGCCACCGAGGAAGTAAACAGCGGCATTATCAGCCTCAAACAAAGACCTGCAACGGCTATAAAAAGTGACCGGGACAAAGACCCTGTTAACACCTTGAACTTAAAGGTGCCGAATCCACACAGATTTCTGCAGTGACCATCTCCAGGTTCCCGAGACTCCCAGGACGTCTGGCCAACGGATTGGTGAGATCTTTTGTTGGGGGCCTACAAACCTCCGCTTCGCTTTGCCCGCTCGTGTGCCTATCCCAGGGAGCTTGTCCGATAGACAGACCATCTCAGGTGCTGCCTGCTCAGCTGCCTGCTACCCAGGTTTAACACTCTGCCAAAAGACTTGGCATCCCCAGGTGAGCTGCTGAAGGTTGAGCACGCTGAGACAGACAAGCTTTTTTTTGGGAAGATTAAAGGGCTGCAGCCTTCCTTTGGGGGTGGGATAGAGGTGCTGGTGTTATGATATCTTCGCTTTGAGGCAGCATCGTTTGATCTCACCCCTTGCTATGATGACCGATATTGTCAGTAACTGGAAGCTGGAGCAGTTTGTGCTCCAGAAGTGTCTCCCCCCTATTTGGTCCCCGGGAGCTTTCCAGGGACCGGAGGCCTACCAGCAGCTATGTCAGCAGTGGGAAAGCTGGTCAGAGGAAACGAAAAAGCCCAAGCCCACAAACAAGTGTAAGAAACGAGCTGCGCTGCAAGGTTTGCTCATGGTGGGCAGGGAGTTGTCCAAATTGCTTAAGGAGGCACTTGAGAGCGTACAGACACTGGAACAGGCCAAGGGCGAGCTCAAAATGCAAGTGGACAACTTGCGGGCGGAGGTGCAGGGCTTGTGTGGTGACTCTCTGAGGAGCGCGGTGGAAATAACCCGGCTAGAGAATAAACTGGGCTATGAGAAGCTGAAGACTGAGGAATTAGAGAAGGAGGTTGGCAAATGGATAGGCGAGACGCATGACGCGCAGAGTGCGGTCCGGGCGGTCCTGCAGGACGTGCAGCGGGACCGCGGCACTGGCCCCGATCACAAGGTGTGCCATGCTAAGATCCAGGAGCTGCAGGCAGAACTGGGGGTGTCCAGGGGCATTGTAGCCGCGATCCAGGGGAAAAGGACGAGATTCGGTAACGGTGACAGTGAGGACTGCTTGGACCACCCGCCGCACTATGACTATGAGGATGATGTGTGGGGAGCCAACAGTCCCACGAGACCTTCCCCTTATGCCCCCCTGAGGGAGGAGATGTCTCAGCTGCAGGGAGCAGAAGTGGAGGCTGCTAAAACTAAAAAGAGCCCAGCCGATGAGCCGACCACCCACGGCCCGCTCCAAGCCATAGATACTAACAGGGCTCTGCTGTGGTTCACTCCCGAGCAGCTAAAGACGGTGGGGAAGATGCTGGGACCCCTGACAAAGGAGACAGCTGTGAACTGGCTGTCCAGAGCCCAGAGGCTGCCGAGGTGTCAGAACGGCAATTCGGTCAGTGATCTGATAGATGTAGTGAGAAAGTGCATGAAACCGGATGACTTTGCGGCACTGCCAGGCGATGTGCAGATGGGGAATGTGCAGGACATCGGAGACGTTCAGTCTGCCGTGCTGAAGGTGTTTTTCCCGGAGGTTAACCCCCTAGTGCTGTTCCACCAGGAGAAGCAAAACCCGGAGGAAAGGCCGGACGCATATGTTAACAGGAAGAAGATGTTGTACCAGATGGCAGGGCTGCCCGGGTCGAAGGACTCGCCCCTTGACTTTGACAGACCTGAATTCAAGGAGCCGCTGGTGGTCGGGCTAACCCCCCCCTTGCGGGTGATAGCAGGAGGTGATGCAGCGAGGAAACCGCTGTCCGAGC